GAAGCCCTAGTCAGACAAGAGAAAGAAATAAAGAACATCCAAATTGGAAAAGAGAGAGTCAAGCCATCACTGTTTGAAGATGGCATAAGCTTAAATATAGAAAACGACAAAGGCACCACAAAAAATACTATTAAAACTAATACACAAGTTCAATTATAGGGTACCAAAATCAGTAAATTTTTATATATGAGTAGTGAAGTGTCTGAGTAGAAATCAAGAAAAAAATACCACTTAAAGCACCTATTTAAAAAGTAGGAATAAATTTAACCTGAGGTGAAAGATCTCTCTACATGTCTTCCTTAATTTCTTTAATCGGTATTCTATTCATGGATTGAAAGAATCAATATTGTCTTAAAATGTCCACATTTTGGCATTTTTGATACTACAACAGGATATTTCTACCCTGTTAAGGACAGCAGTTTAATTTCACAGGAAAAGACTGACAATCTGAGGATATGAATTTGCCTTTTATGCTCACCAATCTTCATTCAGAACTACTGTTTGGGGACTTATACAATGCCTAATCCATAGGTGTGGGATACAATACAACCGAACATCCAACAAGGTTTCACTTCATAGTAAAAGGTGTCTGTGACCATGGGTTCCAATGGCTGTATCTCAGCCTGTATGCTCCAGAGCCTGCTGGCCTAATAGAGCTCTAGAATAGGATGCTGAAAGTGCTGTTGTAGTACCAGCTAGAAGACAATATTCTGCAAGGATGAGGTACTGCTCCCCATGATGCAGTCCATCTGTGATGGATTCACAACTGGTAGTCAACTTGTAACATCAGGCTGAACTGGGTAAGCGTGGTGCTGGGTGTGGGAGGCCCACCTGAGGATTATTGCCAGCAGCATAAGAGGCAGAACTGGAGCAGGAGAAGTTGAGGTCGTGGGGGGCAAGAGAGGCTGTTGGGAGCTGGTGGAAACTGTTGCAAGTTGTTGGGTGCTATTAGAAGCTGTAAGGAGCTGTTGGTTCTCTCAGAGGAGTTTATCATGCTGGCTTTCCTGATGAACTCAGCTGTTCTCATTGTCCAAGAAACTTGGGAACTTGTTGTCACTGAGAATGGCTTCAGTTCACTTTGAGGAAGCTCCAGTTCTCACTTTGAGCATTGCTTCCTGCCTCCGGAGGGGAAGATGGTACACTGCTCAGTCTCCTGTTGAAGCTTGTCAAGTTGGCTTTCCTGATGGGAACTCAGCTTTCCTCATCATTGGAGGAGCTCAGAACCTCACTGATGCTGAGGATGGCTGTGGTACTTTTCAGGGGAGCTCTGGTCATTACTTTCAGTGTTACTTCCTGGTTTCAGTGCAGATCCCTCAGCCTGCTAGCACAGATCCTTCATCCTGCTTGCATAGACTTTCTAGGTCCCATCACTGACCTTTGGGCCTTCCCTGCACAGTTCGTGAAACAGGTCTACATGAGACACTGTCATGGGCTCTAGGCTCCAGTTGGACTTGTGGGAGGCAATGTCATGGGCTCTAGGTCTTCAGCTGAACTCATGCAGGACGTTATCATGGGATAACAGATTCTTTGGTCTTAGCATGTGAACAGATTTCCTGTACTCTCTTGCATATGATTCTTTGAGTGACTATTATAAATAATCTTATAAAATATGTGTCTTGTATGTTATTGTTCCCCTTTGCAAAAACCCAAACCACGATATCTTCATATGGTACAGATCCTAATAGGAACAATACGTGGTGCAAGAAAAAGAGATGAAAACAAGAACATCCCCGTTTACCGTCTTTCTTAAAGATTCACTGGGGATGTGGGGCTTCTCATTCCTTCCACTCTCAGCTTGTGGAATTGGCAGTCACAATCCTCAGGGGTGCTATATTCTTGCTAGGGGTCACAGCAAATGTACCACCAAACTATGCTTCAGATGCTGCCTGGAAACTTTGGACTCCTTGAGTTCGGGAGATAGAAGACAAGAAGAAGAGTTAATGTCGTGGTGGAAGAAGACACGATGGGGGCAAGAAAGACATGCATGGTACTCAGATGATGCACTTGGCTATCTTTCGGTATTCCCTTACCCAACTGTGACAGCAAATAGGTAAACACAGCAACATTTGCCTGAGAATATCATTAGCAGGTGCATAGACTTTCTAGAAATTAGGTTTGTCACACCAGTTTAACTACTGATACCAACAAAGGTAGTAACTGACAATGAATTTAAAATTAACGGTGAAGAGAGGCATTGAGCCATTTTGGCTTCAAAGTGAACTGAGTAGGGCACCGTAATTTGCATCACCAGCTTTCCTCTCCTGTTTCCCTTCAGGGAGAGCAGTCCACTAAAACTCTAGAGGAATAGTTTCCTGAATGTGCAGCCACACAGTGCAAAGGCTTACCTGTGACAGGCATAAAATTATGCTGCTTTAAAACCTCTTCAAGGAAACACTTGCCTAGACTGCAAAGAGTGTGATTAGGTGATGTCATTCAACTGCTAACATTTTAAATTCTGCCTCTAGGTGTTTATTGGGGTCACACTCTTCTTGGGATGGTGCTTGCCAATGATTGAGCAACACCGTGGTACAAGAGCCTAGGAACTGTTTCCCAGCGAGGGTTTCTTCAAGGATATAGCACATGTGGACTTGCAATTTGTTGCAACTAGAATCGTGGAATGAATTTTGCAACTAGAATCCATTTGCTAACCAAAGTACTGCTGTATTTGCTTTAGAACTGCACTGTCCAGTCCCATTCTTCTCTTCTTTTCACCTTACAGATTCCTAACTCTAGCTCATTGCCTGCTTCCTAGAAGACCCAACTAACAAACCTAGTCTTTTCTAGTTCCATTCAGTTAGGGCTCAATTCTAAATTTCCTTGTTTTAAAAAAATGGTATTTCTTTATGATTATAGATGTGATGTTGTACTTTCATTCAGATATAGATACAAATATTTACCAGGTTCATTTCTTGTGTTCTATATTGGTAGACCTGAAATTTATAAACTTCAATATTTTAAACCACCAATATGCATCTTCGGCAATAGTCAACTATCTTTATTATGAAAAATAATAATTATCACTATTATGTATTAGCAGTCATCATCTCTATTAGCTAATTCAATCCTTAAAACTATGAAATAGGTGGGTACTATAATTATTACTATTTCACAGATCAAGAAATAGGCATAGAAAGTGAAGTAACTTGCCCAAGGTCAACAGTCTATGAATAAATCACAGAATTTTCCAAGCATGGTGATACATTCCTCTAATCCCAGAACTCTGGAAGCTGAGGCAGGAGGATCATTGCCACTTCAAGGCCAACGTGATCTACATAGTGAGACCCCGCCTAAAACAAAACAAAAACAGTATCAGAGAACTCAAGTAGTCAAACACAAGTAGTCCAGCTACAGTGTTTTAATTCTTAATATACTGTATCTCCAGGGAAGGGCTGAAAGCACAGCCTTCTAAAATTGTAATAGAAAAGTGTTTGGAGAAGTCAGGCCTGGTTTGAAAAAGGGGAACACAGAAATGTTTATTTTAGGAACAGAGTTCCCATAACAGTAAGAAGTAATTCACTTTTAGGTTTCGTTACTACTAAAAAATAAAGGTTAAGGATAGAAACAGTCTGAAGCCCTTGCTTTGACCCTTTTACAGACTATTTGCAACTCTGCCAGGTAATGATCTCCTTGTCCTCACAATGTATTGCCACTTGGTACTGTTACCTGAAATAGAAGCATCATAATCTCTACAGAATTAACTTTTCATTTCTTTTCATTTCATTTATGGTCTAATGGTCTCCCATTCACTTGCTTTTGAAATCTTGGGGCTTAATTGGTATTAACATTTAGTAATACATATATTTTAAAATTATTATTATTTTTAATTTTTAAATTTTCATATTTATTTATTTTGCTTACTAGGCTTTTGGTCAAAGTGAAAAGTCTGGAAGAGGTCTTTAAATATCTCCACTGAAAGGACTGAGGTGCAGCTAATTGGTAGAGCTCTTGCCTAGCATGTGTGAGGTCTTATATTTAATTCCCAACACTGACAAAAAAACACATTTCTACTGAAAAGTGACTACTAAAGACTATTTTAGGGTCAAATGAAAAGAAGTTGTCTGAGATTAAAGTAAAGTGCTAAATCCTAGTTATTACCATACCGAGTTTCCTGTGAGCACCCTTGCACCCGTCCTGTAAGAACTACAGTTCCTATAATACACTGCAGGCTTCCCACGCTAAAGTGACTACTGTCTTTCGTCATTTCCTCTCGCTCACCCGGTGCATGCTGGGCTTCGTAGTTCACACCAACTTCTCTTTTGTCCTGCTTTTGGTGAGGTAAGGGTGTGGCTGTATAGACTGCTTTGAATATGGTATTAAGATATGGTATCATGATTAATTTGATTTTGTAACATATCAAAGCCCATGTAGCGGCCGGCTTTGTATATTTCATGCTCTGCCTTCCTCCTATGGTCGGCACTCGGGAAGGGGAAGTGACGTACATCCGGTGTCATGGCGGCACGGTGGAGCTTTAGGTAATTACAGAACTCCGTAAACTCGCAGCGGACTGCGAGCGGGAGTTGCGGTGGGGGGCGGTCCTGGGTCGGGCGGATAGCCCCGGGAGCGGGTACGGCCACGCTGGTGTGGCTGCGGGCGGCAGTGGGGCGCGCGTGGCTCTCCCGCCACCTGCGAGCCAGGAGGTTAGGGCTAGAGCGAGTGGGAAAGGCGCGACTAGAAACTCATTCTCCGCCTGCGCGATGGGCCTGGCCTCCTAGTGAGGCTTTTGGCTTTTGGGGCCGTCTCCGCAGGGTCTTTGTTGTTGCTGTTCAGCCTCGGCGCCCGTTTCTTCGCCTTTGTGTGCAATGTGTTTCACTTTTTCTAGTACCTGGACCTAGGGCCGTGGGGGTGGGGTTAATGAACTGTAGCTGATTACAATGGAGAAGTGGCACTCTCATGCTTCTTTCCAGCTCACTATCGCTGTGACTGGTTATTTACATTTTCATTCGTTATGGATTGGACCCATAATACTGATCTTTCCTATTATTTAGTTCCGGGGACGCTTTGTTTCTCATTATGTGTTCTTTTCGTCTGTTACCTTGGGATTACCTCCAATATTGTGATCAACTCCCCAATGTGGATCTCCAGTCTCCGCTATCCTACAATACCCTTCCATATCATGGTAATAGTTATTTTCGCTAGATCTAATTGCAGGCCCCCCCCCCGCCGTTATCACTTAGTCCTCACAGTTTTGTGAGTAAATGGAGAAAGAGTGTTTTCTAGACAGTAAGACCTAAAACAATTCTAGCTGTAAGACCTAAGTGATTTAAAGTTAGGGAACAGTTTCCTTTGTGTTTTTAGATACCCATAGACCAGAGATGGCAGATAAACAAGCTTGATACTCTGAAGTTCCGCTATCCTGTGTCTTTTTTTAAGAGGTTTACTTTTAGACTAGTCTTGCTTTAGGATTGCCTTTGAGCACAGACGGTAACATCAGTTATCATCTTACTTTGGAAAGGCAGATTTACCTGAAAAAAATCCATCCAAGAGAAGCATTGCTACAAGCAGGATCTGTAAGAGAAGGAGACCCTCTGCGCTGGTACCTCATACTGGACTGATTTCAGCCAGAGATTTCGGTCTTCTTCCAGTGCTTATTAGGACTACTATTGGGGGCAAGTACCTTAATATCTCTGGCTTAAGTTTCTTCATCTGCAAAATTGTAGATAATAATAAATACCTATTTTAGTAGGTGGGTTGCTGTAAGTATGAAGAAAAAGCATACAGTTGAGGTACTATGTATGGTGCCTGCTGTGCAGACTTAGCTATGTATTGTTTTTACTACTGGGCACTTGATGAATCTCCTGTGTGCTTCAACCCTTGTTCTTTGATTCTTGAGTGTTTCGCTTCCACTTCTAAATATCTGTGCCACTTTTGTATAGTCCTTCCCAGCTCACTTGACTGGGGCCTTAAGACTGTCTTGCTCATAATTTAGAGGCCAATAACTTTGCTGTAATAACCTGGCCTAGTGCTTCCAACTGTGTGGTCTCCTGAAGCTGTATCTCCTTAGACTTAAAGGGAGGGAAAACTTTTGGATACCCCACTACCCTGCCTCCCTCCCCACTCCAGTTCAAATCATTGAATCGGATGTTGGGGAATGGGATCCTGTCAATCTATTTTTCACCAAACTACGCAATTTGAGAACCATTGGTCTAGCTCATCCCCTAGGGAAATATTATAACTTCCCCCGTGCCCCAGTCAGGTTTACTGCCCTTCTTGCTTTAGAGTGTTTAATCCATGGCCAGCTAGTGTTTTCCTTTTATTATGCCACTACATGCTTCCCCACTTTGGATAATTTAGTTGCACTTTTAGAGTTCAGACTAGTAGCTCTCCTTCCTAAACCAGTTTTTGTGTGGATGTTTTTTGTTTTTTTTAACTCTGTCAGTGTTTCCAGTGACCCAGTTGTTACAGGTTAATGCTTTTCCCTGATAATTTGTACATTGCTGGTCAACCTACAGCGGCTTACACCTGGGACTGCCTGAGACCTAGTGGCACAGTGTATTTATTTGTGATGTCCTTGTCCTAACCAGCATGTTATCTGTGTACTGTTCACTTGTATGTAGACTGTGTTTTGCATTACCTGGTATATCTTTAACTTGTTCATGCCTGGCCTACCACTAGCCTAAGAAAGGAGTGTTTATTGGTGATATACTGTGCTTGTCCTCCCCCCCGCGACTTTGTTGAATTTCTCTACTTTGCTGTTTAAATCCGAGACTCCTAGCATGGGAAGGTGATAGAGAATAAGACCACTAACATAATGGATTTAGGCAAACTCACTGTACTTTTTGTCACCAGTAGACATTAGAAGAAACATTTTAAAGGATTAAAAGAATGCAGTTTTTCAAAGCATTTTCTTCAAGATGGGAGGAACTAGGGAGATCTTTTGCAGATGGGCAGGGTACCAAGAAATTGGGGTTGGGAGGATGACAGGAAGAATTAAGGTGTGTTATGTACATGTACCAACTCCCTACAAGGAATGTAATCCTTATGTATTGTAAACATTACTAATAGAAATAAATTTTTAAAAAAAAATAGCACATGAGGAGAGGAAGAGGTTAAAGCAGGCCTTTGTTAGCAAGTCTTTGTTATTTAGAGCTGGGCTGTAAGTCTTTCTCAGGGAAAATCTGCCAAAAATGAGGTATGGGCTGTCTTGGCCTGGAAATGTACTAAACATTTCTGAGTCCTTCCCTGAATTGGTTTATTAGTATAGCTTTATTCTAGACAGAGTGACAGGAGCTTCTGTAGTGGGGTGTGGTGGTGTGTCTAGCCAGGGCAGGGGTGCTGAAGCTGTGGCACACGTGCTGCAGTGGGCACACGGAGCCCTCTCTGTCAGCATGCTAGCCAAGCCACCTCAGCATCGCCCCAGCAGCTGAGCAGTCAGGTTTAATTGCATTGTGGGCACTTTGAGATAAATAAGTGGGGTTGAGGTTGCAGTGTGGGCACTTGGTCTGCAAAAGGTTTGCCATCACAGGTCTAGGGATTGCTTCATACATATCTCTGTAGAAGCCAGTACCTCCAAGTTTTCTTTAAACCAGAATGTGGTTGATTAAGTGGCTCTCTAATAATCTGAAAGGCCACTTTCCAAGCTACACTGACAGCTGTGGAATATCCTCAGCTCGTGCACTAATTAGGCAAACCGAAAACAGAGTAGGAGGCAGAGGCGGAGAAAAAGTGGTGTGAAGATAGAGTGAAAGCACATGGCATACTCGATAATTTGGTACATTTTTATAAGGTGACAGAACCTTACAAGGTCACATTTCCTCTTCCCATGCCTGCAGAGGATTGCAATTTTTGCCCCCTCTCTCAACAGAAACATTTATTTAAGCTGTTCTCCAGGTCAGCATGAAGCCAAACAGGGTGATACCTAATCATGTTGTGGTGGTATAGTTATGACAAAGCGCTCGGCGGTTCAGAAGGACTTAGGCCGGTCAAGGCTAGCATGGTAACCCTTGATAAGGAAGTTGTCAGGACAGCATTATAGAGAGTTCTGTGTAGGAAGAATATTGGAATAATCATCAAAAAACCACAATAACACTTCTAAAATTTAATTTTAGAAGTGGAACATATTAAGTGTCAGGCACGGTCCCAGCTTTTGAAGCTAAGAACTTCAAGTTCGGTGTATTTGAATGTGGCCTTTCATACTTTGGCTTTGTGAGTCTCGTTTTCATCCGTGTTGTTTTCTTATATGTACTGTATGCTTTGCTCAGACAGCATGAGATTCTTCTACGTTCATCATTTCCTGAATGACTTTTTTCCCCTTTCAATGTAGATAATTCCTACTTGTTCTTAAGACTCAGTGTCCATATCCCAGGCCTGTGTAATTGCACCACTTTTCAGGCAGTACTGTGCTTATAACATAGCTATTGCCCTTGAAGACTTTTCTTGTCTACCCAGCAATAGGAGCATGAACCTTTTGATATCTTGTATATGCTGCTTAACATACGTGTCACCCCACCATATACAGGCAGCACCTTTACTCAAAAACTGTGGCCATACTTTCCTTTGGCTGCATACTTCCTCATTCTCTCAGGAACTACTTTTCTGAGCCACTGCTTAATATAAGGATCAGCTATTGATGCAGCTGCACCATTTACTAACCCTATTTTCTTCTGTGTAATTTTTCAGTTGGTAGAATGTTGCAGACTTTTCTGCGCAAATACAAACTTGATTAAATGAAAAAGGAAGCCTTCAGTGGGTGATTAGAAACATTAGAGCAGGGCTGGGGATTTAGCTCAGCGGCAGAAGCGCCTGCCTGGCAAGCACAAGGTCGTGAGTTCGGTTCCGGTACTGGAGAAAAATCAAAAAAAAAAAAAAAAAAGAAACATTAGAGCTGTTTCTCTTACCACATTTTTCCCCGTTGTCTTGTATTTTGCACTTTGTATTTTGGGTTTCTCATATACGTGTGATAATTTAAGTTTGTGTCTCTGATTTACTTAACATTATGGTCTCAAGGTGCATCCATTTTTCTACAGATAACTCAAGTTTGTCCTTCTTTGTGGCATGGTAATACTCCAATGTGTATAAACACCACATTTTCTTTAGCTATCAGTTGATGGACATACAGGTTGCTTCCAAGATTTAACTGTTTTGAGTTGTGCTGCTATAAACATGTGCGTATATCATATGTATAAAGGATGTCTTGTATCAAGGTAATATGTCTTTAACTCTTTTGGGAAAATACTGTGAAGGGGAATAGCTGGGTCAAATGGAATTTCTATTTTTAGTTTTTGAAAACTCTTAGTTTGTCCATGGTGGTCATACCAGTTTATACTGCCACCTACAATAAAGCCCCCCACCAACCCTTACAGCTTTGCCAGCATTTATAATTATTTGATTTCTGGAAGATAGCCATTCTTTTTGGAGTGAGTAGAATGTCAGTGTTGTTTTAATTTGCATTTCTCAAATAACCAGCTGTGCTGAACTTTTTTTCGTGTATTGATTGGCCATTTGTACTTTACTAAGTAAGAAGTGTATTCATTTCAGATGCCCATTTTTCCAATGGGACTTTTAAATTTGCAGATCTAATTTTTTTAGTTCTTTATATATTCTAGATAATAGTCCTTTGAAGAGTAGTGAGCAAATTTTTTTCCCATTCTGTAGGTTACACTGGACATGTTTTGAGTAGTGAGGATCATGATACCAATTTGAAATTACAGGTTTCAGTTTTTTTTGTTGTTGTTCTTATTATGAAAGATGGTACGTACTTAATAACTAGACCAAGAAAAACAATACGGATCAGTGAATCATTGTGGTTCTGCTCAATGAATGACGTGTTGGGATTACTGAATAAAGGTAAATCTTATTGGTAGGCAGCTGCGCTGTAAGTAAACCAAGGAATGAATGGTGAAACTAAGACACTAAGAGGTCAAGTTAGGAGAATATAAGTGCAAGTGATTGAGGGTTTTACAAGGAAGCGTGTCCCTTGGGATTGTTTCATTTAGTAGCAGAGAGACTGCCTCTACGGAAATTCTATTTAACACATATAGAGAAACGTTGACCATAGGCAGAGAGACAAAGTTCTTTTTTAAAAACTTCTTTAAAGGACATTTGAAAACTATGGAATAGAATTGAATGTATTGTAATGTGCTTTTAATTTGCGAGCACAGGTTTCTCTATGGGCACGTT